TGTAAGGGGGGCCGGATGTCAACGCTGCAAATACTGTATATTCTTGCTTTGACAATATGCAGAACTGTCTGGTATTTATATAGTTAAACCAGCAACTGGGAAAGAGGGAGGAGCATAAGGATAGCCCGGGAGAAAGAAACCGGAAGTAAATCACATCTTCCAAGTTGATTGGAAGATGTGAACCATGACCCCAAAATAAAGGAGTGGGAAATGCTTAGGATTATATGCGTAACGGAAGAGAAGCCAGACCTAAGCATTTCCACCATGCTGTACTGACGTCTCTGTAACCTTAATAAATGCTTTTAGGAAAAATATGCCTGAAAGTCCTTTTAAGTGTTTCGTTAATCAGACACATGACACATGCATGTACAAAAATATTATCAGTGATAGAAATCTCATATTATTCAGTCTTTCTTTTAAATTTGTCAATTTTAAACATTTATCTGAGCAAGTATAAAGTGAATTCAACATGTTTCTAACTTCTGATTATACTCAGGGAATATAACAAAGAAAGACATATAACATATAAATATATAACAAAAAAAGTCATATTGGCCTAAGGAAAAAAATCGTATTAAGACAATACTATTTATAGATCAATTAAAGCAAGAAAATGATATACAATATTTTAAATCCATTCACTAGATGGTAAACAATTGTATGCAAGGTATTTTGAGTATAAACAAAAATGGTTTGGAGAGAACCAATGTCAAAGTAAATTAGCAGATGTTGGTGTGCCAAATTCATACGTTTGCTGATGATTTTCTCTAGAAAGAAAGGGGAAGGGCAATGATATATGCCAGTGATGGCGAACCTTTTAGACACCGAGTGCCCAAAAACTGCCCCACCTCCGCACTGCCCCACCCCCGCTCCACCCCCGCCCACCCCCACCCACCCGCAGGGCCACCCACCACCTCCACGGCCCGCTGCACATCGCCCAGGCAGCCCAGTAGTGCCATGGCGGCCACGCTCTCCACCCATGCCCCACAGCATCATCTGTTTGCGACGGGGTGCAAGGACGGAGTCTTGTCCCCACTGCCATGTCCTTGGCTGCGCTGCTCCATGTGGGCCGTGCCTGGAGGTGACTCTCCTCTGGGGGGGCTGGTGTGGAGGGGGCCGTGGGGAAGGCGGGGCTAGGGCGACAGCATGTGTGCTCACAGAGAGGGCTCCGAGTGCTGCCTCTGGCACTCGTGCCATAGGTTCGCCACTACTGATATATGCCATTATACTCCAATAGTCGATATCTCCAGATGTTGCCACCTAGGGACATGTCCTCTACTTGGTTTTCATGGATTTATTTGAGCAGCAATTATCTATGCCTGGTAAGGAATATAATAATGGTCTTCTTAATCAACATAAGTAGAGATGTTTGACATTCTATGCACTTTATTATTCTTCAAAATAAACCTCTAACATCTAGAAGTAGCCATGCTGAATCACCTTCTGCCTTTGTAATGTTAATTATATTAATTAATTATATTTATATTCTAGAAAAATTCCAGGAGAAGATAAATTCCAAGGAATGACTTTGACAACCCAAACTTATATTGGAGTATATACCAGTTGAAGTCCTTGATGCTAAGCATGCATTCATGCTTGACAGCATTGTAAGCCAAGACTAAATAGGAACAGCATCTGCAAATATGATCTCCCCTGTAGAAAGATGTTCAGGGTTATGCAATAGCTCATTCAAAGTTACATAAAGGAAGAGAGAGTTGGGTCATTCAGCTGATCTTTGACCACTTTCAGAAACATGAAAAGGTGAAGAGTTTTTAGACTCCCACCACAGGATTTCTGTACTTTTTCAATTTGCAAAATATCTGGAGTTTATTTCTATTGAATTTTTCTTTTAACCTTGGATCAAAATATAGAGAAACATATAGAAAAAAATCCTTCTTTGTTTTTGTTCCCTGATCAAGTTTCACAGACTAAGAAATGGCAGAACAGTGTCTGAAACCTAAAAAAGGAGTGTGAGGGAGTATGCAGCTCCTAGCCGAATTTCTCTTTAAAAACTAGATGAGGTGATAATGATCCTGCAAAATATGCTGGGACATGGAACTTTGAATAAAGATACGCAAAAGGACTTTGATCCAGTTCCTGACTGAAGAGATATTCTCACAGCTGGAGAACTAAGAGAGAGGATTTCATCTGTTGCTCTGAAGTTTAAGTCTGCATATTCCTACAATATTAAGACTCTGATTGAAAGGGGAAGTAACAAATTCTTTTCCTACAAAGACTGTGGGAGAATAGATGGATTTACTACAGTTAACTGGTATATACTCCAAACTTGTACTTAGACTTTGATCGGAAGATAGACTTATTCTGAAAACTGAATCTATTATATTTAGTTAATGCCATCTCTTATCAATTGTTGTTTAACAAACAAATGTGTATACTGTATTTGATCCAGGACAAACTATTTATAACTTTTGGGATGACTTGCAATATATAAGATGCCATGGTAAACCTTCTATGAGTGGATTACAGTAACAGTGTCAACTCTACAAATAAGCGTGGCTGCAGCCATTTTTCCTACTCATTTTTGGTTGCCACATAGAGCGGAGGGAGAGGAGTTGCCCAGGTGCTTCACTAGTTTAAATAATCTTTTGTCCCATGGGAACCAAGGTCATTCGCTGCTCCTGAGACTGCAGGTTGGGTAAAAAGCTCACCAAGAAGATGTAGTTGCTTGCATAGTTTTAGGGGTGAGATTTTTTAACTTTGTATTGGGGAATTGTTATGTGTGTCTCCAGACTTGGTTTCACTTTTGATGTGCCGATACTTTGTAACTAATAAACATGCTCTTTGAGGAATTTGCAAGCCTCGGAGTTCTGCTTTATTCATCTCTGTCTGTCAGAACCATGACAAACAGTTTGTTAACAGAGAGTTTTGAAACTTTAATTTTGTTTTGTTTTAGTATTCTACTTCTTGTTGTTAACTACTTTGTCACTAATATAATATATAGAAGATAGATCAATAATTTGCAAATTTAGTAGTTTAAAAATTTTGGGAGAGGCTGTTTTTGCAAGGGTGGGAACTAATGTCGTAGTAATGTATTACTCAGTATTCAACTAGGATGGTAATATACATGTTGATATTTTTGATGCACCTTTTAATATTTTGATTTTTGTGTTTTTTTCTTTTTTGTCTTTTTGGAATTTTTTGGGGGGAGAGTTTGGTATTTTGTATTTTAATTTTGTTTTGAATAAAATAAAAATATATGTAAAAAAAAGAAACAAGTATTAGTTCTTGGATTTTTTACAGCATGCTAATCTCTTCTTGGGGCAATGTAGTTTTCATATGAAAGAAAGAAAAAAGCCATTTGTTGACTGGGTCCAGAATTTTTGCTTTGAACAATCTGCATAATACAGACTGAAGTGACATGATAGACTGATTCCTTTCAGGCAACTGTGCCAACCATTGTATTCACAATGGTTGTCTAGCTATGTGTCTCTTGCCAACCAAGGCAAGGATCCTATATCCACAGTAGTTAATATATGACACGTCATTAGTTCCTAAATGGGTAATTGGTGATGTCTAATTTTCTTTCTGGCAAAACTCCTCTTGCTGGACTATGCCAACTCCACTTCAAGAGGAGTGTAGGGCCTGGGAGAGATATTTCTGTCTTTCCCCAGCCACTAACCAGACATCTGACCATGATCAAAAGGTTCTCTATTTTGTCAGTTCAAATAATTTATTACATTATTTAATATAATTGCATTTAACAATATATTTATAATAATATTAAATAATATATATATATATATATATTATATATATATATTGGGCCATCGCTATGTGCTCTAGACGTTGGAGTACCACCTCTGCGATAATGCTAGAGATCGGGGACCCCATGGGTGTGCCCTTGGTTTGCTCATAGATGGTCCCCTGAAAGGTAAAATGAGTTTTTAGGCACANGGGACAGTTTAGGCCTTTCACCAAAGGGTCAGTAGTATCTATCCTTTAAGACGGGTCTTCAAACTTGGCCCTTTTATGACTTGTGGACTTCAACTCCCAGCCAAATATTAAGACAAATATTCTATTTGAGATACTAATGTAAATTTATTTTATGAAAATAGGTTGGATTGGTAAAAATAGCCTTCCCTAACTTGGTACCTTTTGATTATGAACACTGCACTCCTTGATTCTAACCAATGGCTTTGCTGAGGGACACTGGGCAGAAGGGTGATACAAAGTAATAGTGTCATAGACAGAAATGGTACTACAGAGCAGGTATTGCTTTTTTATCTGACTGATTTTTAATTTTTATTTCCAGAAATCGGGGCTCTATGAATATAAAATCTACAGCATACTTACTGATTGTTCCCCAGAGCTATGTGCTGAAGTTTATATGGACTTAAACTACAGAACAAAATGGGACCAATATGTTAAAAGTTAGTAAATAATTCTAATGTTTCTTCTGTATTGCTATCATTTCTAAGATTCTTTCATTCCACTGTTTTAAATTCAAAGATGATTAATTCAGCGAGTGAACTTTTCTTCCTTAAAATACAAATGCTATTTAAAATGCCCTTCTAGTGTTTATAAAATAACTTTGAAAGTATAGGTATTTATTTGAGAAATTAAATAGATAGCCATTTATTTCAATCAAGCCTCTTTGATCCTTCAGTGATACTCTCATTTAGCTTTACTGGTCTTCAGTATGAGGAAATCTTCTAAAATCTTCTAATTTAAAACATAATTTTATTTTGCCTATAGAAAGTTTTTGATGTGTGTGTGTATTCTATAAATCATAGATGCTCAGTATAATGAAAATTAACAAATTAAGGCATGGAAACATAATACAGACAATTTTAGTATATTACTTTTGCATTGTCTGCTTCTCTTATCAGGTAATGTGCGGTTCATTCTTTTTGCATGCAATTTGTTGACTACCTTTATATCTACAATGTATATAGTAAGGCTGTAGGTGTACATTTTATAATTGGAAAAATTCTTCTGGTTATGAAGTGGTTGTTTGATTTAAATATTGTATGAAGGCCTTATAATTGAAAGAAGGCCACTAAGGGTTCCTTGTAGAGCGGGTAAACTAGCACAGGGGAAACTGTGGGAGAATTTATTAATTATAAAAAAGATGGAAAGGTGACTGGCAGAATTGTGACTAAAAGAATACTAGAAGTTAAAATGAATTATAATTTGGAAAGGGTGATGCAGTTTTATGACATAGAGGGGTTATATGGAGCTGATTTTTATTCTTCAGGAATTAGGAATTATATGAAAGTGAAAAGAGAATTAATTTTGTATTTGTTGATTTAAAGAAAGCATGCAGTAAAGTTGAATAGGCTTGTTTTGCACAAATATGGTGTTGAAAAATGATTTCTGAATTCTGTAAGAGTGATATACAATGAAAATAAAGCATGCATAAGAATAAATAGACTTAGAAAATGGTTCAGTATTGAACAGGAAAAGAAATAGAAATGTGCTGTTCCATTGATCGTTTAATATATTTATGGATAGATGTGTAAGATTAGAAATGTCCTGCCTGGGGATATAAGTATACATTTGTTTGGTACCAAATTAATACGCCAGTGACCTCTGGTGGAAAATGTGATATTCATATGACTTACTGTTTTCTGGGAATTCTACTCTATTCCATTAGAAAGTTGGCATTGAATATGAAATCCTGTGAAAATAAGATGTTTCAGAGTAGCAACATGTGATTAAGCCTTCCATATGTTTATGAGGAAGTCTTAAGAATTTAAGAGAATTCTCATTCTGATATGAGCATCTGTAGTCACTTCACGCACACACACACACACCACGCACCCCGTAGCAGTATTAGTTGAAAAGTACAAAATGGCCTTTTTGGCTTTTAAGATCAGCATATTATTCTTCAGGATGCATTTCATTTAGTTGTCTAAAAATACTGAGAATGCATTCAAGAGCATCTTCTAGTATCAACCCATAAACTGCATCAGACAGGTGTATGACATTTCCTATTTGTCAAGCGATTCCAACTGGAGCTTGAGAGTAGGTAAGACCAACAATGGTGCAGCAATTTTGGAACATTCTTCAAAAATAAAACTTAGTGAGAAACATACCATTTGTTAAAACATGAAAAAGCACCAATTGTATTGCTTTGTGGTTTTTTGTGTTTTGGTGTTGTTGGTTTTTTGACTACAGGTTATTTTTAGAGAGAAGTTTACTTAAGTATTCTAATGACAGTTTTTAAATGTTTAAAAAGAAATTAATGAATTATTATAAAAAGCAATCAACCATTTTAATTTGTGTTGATGGAAAAGTAGTTAACTTTAACTAACTGATAACTTAATTTTAAGAACTAGGTTACACAAAACGATTTGAAAAACTAAAAAAAAATATTGAGGCCTTAGAAATATAGGCCACAATTTATGAAACATAACTACATAAATTATCTATGGTTGTTGACAATAGAAAGGAAAAACTATATTGAAAGAGATTTAGTAGCATTTTTGGATTGAGTTCTAGTTTGATGAATAATTATATAGTAAAGAATTAAATTGGGAGACTAAGATGGACCATTTCTGGCTTTTTTGCCTTCATCAGTTAGCCATACCCTTTTGTGGGATTCGAACCTGGAAAGTTATACATACTAGGCAGTGATTTAGCCACTAAGCCACAGGTTCTCTTCCCCTCTTTGCCAGCAGAGTCAAGGGAGTAATTATAGGGAGTTCAGACAGATCGG